GATTCTTGCATTCCTTAACAAACCAAAAGAACAATGTTACATTTTGTTCGTCGCAATCAGCCGACAATTCAGATATGTCGACCAGCTGTCCGGAAAAGCACTAGACGGCCGTTTCGCCCTATTGGGGGCTCATCACTTGGTGCGCATCCTTCGGTCCTCTGCGGAGGATCGAACCAATGACTGCTAGTAGCTCTTGCCAACTAGCCCGCAACTTATGCAACTGCGCCATGGAGGACGGTATCTAACTAGCGTGAATTGTTTGCTAAATGCGATATAGCCCCAATAGGGCGAAACGGCCGGCTGGTGCTCTTCCGGACAACTGGTCGACATATCTGAATTGTCGGGTTGATTGCGACGAACAAAATACTCACCAAAATCCTTCCATTCATAAGTAACAATGTTACATCTTTGGACATATAAGGTAGCGGTAAAATGGCCAACCAAATTAACTGGCGTCAGCACCAATTGTGAAGTGGATGTAGGTGAAATGACGTCGCGCCTTTTGTGGTTGGTTTACGTGATAAGCGACCGTGTGCACACTGAGTGTGTCACCAACGTGGGCAAGACGAACTAACTGTTGTTTTATATTTGAAGCTGGAATCACGTTTAGATTATTTGTAGTGGGCGCGGCTACTGACGAAGTCATCGAAAGGTTTGCTAAATATGATACTCCATTATTTAAGCGCTATTATTCATGGAATGAATGCATACCAGCCAAATTGATTTCGATGCGTCCTACCCCAAACTGCAAGGTGTTTATTCAGCAAGGCTCTCAGACAATATATAACCAGCCTGGTAAGGGTATATCTACGAGCTTAGTTTTGGTGACAGAGAAGTAAAAGCGAAGCGGAGAAATGGGATAGTAAAATTTTCTCGCAGTGTAACAGTGGCTGTTCAAACAATGATTGTTGGTATTTCGTTAGAAAGTTTTATACAAACTCTTCCTTTTTATAAGGGTAACACTTTGTGCTGTCTGCAATTAAATCGTGGCAAAGCTTCCAAATCACATGCAGATTTAGATTATTAATCCGCGATATGCAAAATATGCATTCTTTCTATCATAACAATAAAGTAGCGTAGCTCTATAAGCGTACAGCAAAGTAAAATCAGCCAAATCTCGACTATCGTTCCATCTCACATGTTACAGGTCATTGGGTTGAGAAATGATTCTATACAGATCGATAGTCCGCTTGTCCTGTCTCCAACCCGGAAAAAATTATTGCCACAAAAACGTATGCCTCCATAGCGTAGGTTTCCTCAGTTCGTCAGCCTTCAGATTGGTTTGCAACTCTAAGTTCATATTCTGCTTGGTCGGCGCTTGTTTCGGGTGTGATGACTGCGTTTAACTGAGTTCGCATTGCTTTTTATGGCATAAAACCGAACAGGGTATTCCAGGTTGCAATGTTGGGCGTGGTTGTTAATACTTTCATCACGAGCGCACGAGCATTAAGCAACGAATGTTCCATAAGTAATACAAATCAAACTGATTTAAGAACCGAGGTAACTGTGCTGATGAATAAAATAAGCATGTAAAAATGCAGTACCTTAAATATACCACAACTCAAATTCTTCAACCCGCACCTCGGTACATAAAATATCACTGGGCCCAATCCTCAGGACGATCTGTGAAACCAGATAAATCAAGTGATCTCAACAGAGGCGTAGTGATCAATGTAAAACTGTACAGGTATTCCATGCAATTGAACGCAGGAGAACATGTGAGCAACCACCAATGGGGCTAGAGTCGGATCAACGCAGTTTCGCCTGCACTGTCAAGTAACCAAAGCACAACACATGCATAGGCGCACGAGTGAGTGAGTGTTTATCAAAGTCACTGGAAGCCGAATGTATTTGAATTGGAGATAGGTGCACAGAGAAACGGGATACCGTAGAAAGGCAGACGGGATAGAACGCTTCACAAACAGTGGTGATAATCCGCTGGCGGGAATAAGGCAACATTCAGACAATGGAAGAATGAGTTCGGAATCTAGTGCAACTTGGCAACCTAGGTGAAGAACAATGTTCATATAGGGGATGTGCAGGTTTATATGATTGGGCAGACGGAAAAATACGCTG